CTGAACTAATTATAATTACCCCAGATGTTTTCCATAAAAATGGTCACACATTTGAACAGTTTCCTTAGCAACTGTTCTATATATCAAATTTACTGGAGTATCAAAATTATGAAGAGACACTATCAGATGCACTGTTTAAACTACAAATGATAATGAAGTTTGAGTCTACTATTTATTTTGACAAGTACTCCAGCTAATCTGTAGCCATTTGTATTTAATCCAAAGTCCCCTAAGCAAACTCAATATTTTTAAAATAAATTTTCAATTACTGCCCACCTAAAGCATGACAAAGTATCCAAAATTTGTGAATATCAAAGATGGAAGTTTTAAAATTTTTAACAATATCTTACATTACTTCAAAATGCCCATGGCCAAAGAACTGACTTCACTCCAGTAATTTAATAAATATAAATTACTTATTAATTCATAAATTCTGGCAGTGACATTATAATTACAAAACCAATGTCCGTGAAAATATTAAAGAATTGATGATAAGAAAGAACACTGTGAAATATTGTAATTTGGTCACTATATTTACTTTTAATACACAAAATTTAGAGAGGAAAAATTAAGGGAGAATATCAAGGGAGTCCAAAGCGTTCCAGTCGCTTTCTTTTCTTTTCCTAAAATAAAGACATTCATCAAATTAGCTTTAGAAAAAGAAGTTCATAACCGTGTACATTTAAAAAGTTCTTGGACTATATATTTTAGATATACACATGAAGAAAAACATGTAAGGTATGTATATTTTGTTTATTCAAGATTACAAAATGTATCCCTTTTTCTCTTCAGTTCAGGTACAGATGATTGCAAATTCAATAAAATGTTCTATAACTTTGCAGTACAGTGTTGGTCCTCAGGCCATTATGCTACAATAACTTTTCTGGTACTTGTAGAAACAAATTATGATCAATGAAAATTCTATTAGTTTTCTGCTTAAGTTTTCAGAAGAAATATATGAAGGAAGTAATTTTTCACATCAAAAGAATAAAGAACAACAATTTCATCGTGGGATATAACAAGACTTAATTCCTCCTAAGATGTGATAAAATGACGTTACCTTAGAAACAAATCATGGATTATGTGGATGAATGATAAGCTAATAAAAATGTGACAATATAAATCATAATACAAAAATCCATAATTATTTTTACATAGACTTCATACAGCCCTTAACCTTCAGGAATTTATTACCGAATATAATCATTTATCCAAACTACCTGAATCTTAGTCATATTTAATTATAACAGTCTAAGAACATTTCTCTATCAAGAAAAAGTATATTGCTTGTAATTATGTACATCCTGTGGTGTGCCAACTTACAAAAACCACATGCACATTCTAAAGTATTGGTAAGCTCCTTTTCCATGTAATATTAAATTGTCCAACTATTCCTATAACTGGATGGACTTATTTTCTTTCCTAATAATGATGTATTAATTTTGAATTCTTATGCTAAGGAAGATAGATCAAGCAATCTGTATTATTAAAAGAAACAAGGGAGTTAACTATACAATAAAAATGAGGAGCAGAAAAAGACACAGGTTTCTTTAAAAAACTGAGACTTCAACTAAAATTAAAGACAATAAGAAAGACATTTTAGTACCCTTAAAAATTCAGCCTTTAAGGTAATTTTAGGATGGATGTTTGTAATAATTAAACATTACTAAATTAAAATATAAATTCAGTCAAATTTTTATATTAAATTCTTAATTTTTTTCTAAAATGGTGGGCTTACAGGAGCTCATTCCTTTTTACTTTTTAAGATTTATTTATTTATTTGAAGGTCAGCATTACAGATAGAAATGAATAGAGAGAGACAGAGATCTTCCATCTACTGGTGCACTCTCCAAATGACCGCCAACAACCATGCCACAGTCAGGAGCCAGGAGCTTCTTCCAGGTCTCCCACGTGGGTAGCAAGGGCCAAAAACTTGGACAATCTTCTCCTGCTTTCTTAGGCCCATTAGCAGGGAGCTAGATAGTAAGTGGAGCAGCCAGGACTTGAATTGGCTCCCATATGGGATGCCAGTACCACACTGCTGCTACACCACAAGGCCAGCCACTTGATTTTTTTTTAATTACTTATAAATATAATCAGAATCATGAAATACTGGCATATTGTTTTTAATTACATAGCACTTAAATAGCTCCTACAGTCCATCTAATAATCAAATATTGAATTACTACTGTGGCTTGAAAAGTTTTAGGAAAATAACAGATCAACAAATTCTGTAAGTATCTTTCAAAATTCAATAAACTTTTAAAAATATTTATTTATTTACTCATTTATGTAAAGACAGAGTGACAGCTGAGAGAGAGAGATATCTTCCAACCACTGGTTCACTCCCTAAATGGTCACAACAGCCAGGTCTGGGCCAGGCCAAGGCCAGGAGCTGGGAACTCCACCTGGGTCTCTCAAGGGACCCAAGTAGTCCAGTCATCTTCCACTGCCTTCCTAGGTGCATTAACAAGCAGCTGATCAACTTGACCGGTCACTCGGATATGAGATGTGGACATCCCAAGCAGCTACTTATCCTGCTATGCCATAATAGCCACATATCAATAATCCTAATGCTTGTACCTCCCACTTTAATCTCAGAAACTTCATGTATTCCCTCCAAAATTAGTAGCAAATACATAATTATAACCATGTTTTAGTAGGTCTTAATGATATGGTAACAGTATTACAAAGCTCAGCTTATTTGTTCTGAAAAACTTCTTCTTCAAATATCTCCAAGTTTTTTTTTTTTTAATTAATTTATTTGTTTGAAAGGTAGAGCCAAAGAGAGGCAGAGGCAGAGAGAGAGAGAGAAAGTCTTCCATTTGCTGGTTCACTTCCCAAATGGTCACAATGGCCACAGCTGGGCCTATATGAAGCCAGGAGCCAGGACCTTCTTCCAGGTCTCCAATGTAGGTGCAGGGGCTGGAGGACTTGGGCCATCATCCACTGCTTTCCCAAGCCATATCAGAGAGCTGGATTGGAACTGGAGCAGCTGGAAGATGAACCAGCGCCCATATTCGGATGCCAGCACTGCAGGCAGCAGCCTCACCCACTCCGCCACAGTGCCAGTTGCTCCCAGTATTTTTTTTAAGTTTTTAAATTTACTTGTACTTATTTGAAAGGTAGAGTCACTAACACACAGGGTAAGAAAGAGAGATTGTCCATCTGCTGGTTCAATCCCCCAAATAACAACTACAACCAAGATGAGGTTAATCATCTGGTAAATTCTTACATGAGACTCCTTCAGCTCTACCTACTGGCATGCAACATTTCCTCAAACGCAGTAAAATTGTCCATATACATCCTCTAATTTCCAAAGACTCACATACATTTTTACTTCAATATGTAAATTCATAGAGTAATAATACCCAGGGAACTTCCTTTAGGGAGGTATATTTAACAATTAATTCTACCTCCATTATAGATGTGAACAGTGCTTCAGTAGAAAATAGATACCAAGGTAAGCTCTATTCAAATAATGTTGACAGGTAGAAAGTTAAAAGATAACAAATATCTTCTAGAAAGTTATATATCATCTTATGTTATACCAAAAATTATATATTTGTGTTAAGAACTTAAATAAGTGATTTTTATTGCTGCCATATGAGCAATTTAATTTCTGACTCTTATTTTAAGAGTGATTATCAGTAAGAAAACATGGTATGCTTCAACTTTTACAATAAGAAACAGAGACAAAGAAGAGATGTGTTAGGGATCAATTTTTTTTTTTTTGCCATCTCTACAAACACTCCAAATTCTTATAATAGTGCAATTTATTAGGAGAGCACAGTTTTTTTAGAAAACTTTTATTTAATAAATATAAAATTCAAAAGTACAACTTTTGGATTATAGTGGCTTTTCCCCCCATAACCACCCTTCCACCCACAAACCATCCCATCTCCTACTCCCTCTCCCATCCCATTCTTCATTAAGATTCATTTTCAATTATCTTTATATACAGAAGATCAACTCAGTATATACTAAGTAAAGATTTCAACAGTTTGAACCCACACAGGCACACAAAGTATGAAGTATTGTTTGAAGACTAGTTTTACCATTAATTATCATAGTACAAAACATTAAGGACAGAGATCCTATATGGGGAGTAAGCGCACAGTGACTCCTATTGTTGATTTAACAATTGACACTCTTATTTATGATGTCAGTAATCACCCTAGGCTCTTGTCATGAGCTGCCAAGGCTATGGAAGCCCCCTGAGTTCACTGACTCTGATCATATTTAGACAAGGCCATAGTCAAAGTAGTTCTCTCCTCCCTTGAGAGAAAGGTACCTCCTTCTTTGATGGCGCGTTGTGTCCACTGGGAATTCACTCACAGAGATCTTTCATTTAGGTTGTTTTTTGCCACAGTGTCTTGGAGGAGAGCCTAGTTTTACATGGAGCTGTTGATTTATGCTCACATTGGCTTGGTCAGGTCCACTTTGAGTCCTGGCTGCTTCACTTCTGATCCAGTTCCCTGCTAATGGCCTAGGAAAGCAGAGGAAGATGGCCCAAGTGCTTCGGACCCTGCATCCATGTGGGAGACAGGGAAGAAGCTCCGGGCTTCTGATCGGCCCGCCTCCAACTGTTGTAGCCATTTGGGGAGTGAACCAGCAGATGGAAGACCTCTCTTTCTCCCTCTCCCTTTCTCTATAACTCTGCATCTCAAATAAATAAATAAATCCTTTAAAAAAAGTCAGTGTCTGCTCCATTTATTTCCGAATGATCCATTACTGAACCAATAAAGTTTGTATCATAAAGTTAATTTCAGACGATGCCCAATTATATATTTTATAGCTAATCCAAGCACAAAACTAAAGTAAAATCTGTCTTTATTACAGAAATTTAACCTGTGTTACAGAAATCACTTTCTTGACACGATTCTAAGTATAAATTTATTATTGTTAATTGAAACCAACTGAAAACAGTATATAGAAAACACAGTAGTAATATTAACAAATATTAATTCAATTTTTGTACATTAAATATTACAGCTTACCATATCAGTATTCTCTTTATCTACAAAAAAAGATAATTCAGAAATCTTAAAGATAAAAAATATTTAAAACCTTATCTAAAATAATTTGTTAGTGGATATGCAATATAAAGACATAAAAATGACATTAAAAACATAAAATGTGTGGGGTAAGCATCATGCTACAGGGGTTAAGCTGCTGCTTTGGGAAAGCCTGAGACTGAGTTCTGCCTATGCTTCCAATCCAGCTCCCTAATGTACCTAGGAGGCAAAGATAATGCAAGTACTTGGATTCTTTCCACTCATATGGGAGACTCAGATAGAATTCCTGGCTTCTGGCTTAGCCTTGCCCAGCCCTAGTTGTTGCAGGCATCTGGGGAGTGGAACCTGTGGATATAAGATCTCTCTTTCGCTCTCTCTGACATTCTGCATTTCAAATAAGTACATATATACATACTATAAAATATGGCTTGGAAAGAATAGTGGGACCATAGTTTTTGGATGCAATGGGACTTATTAATATAAGATTTTAAAACAATATTTTAAAAAAATCTTAACAATTGTAAGATTTTTAAACTTATTAAAACATTGATAAGTTTATAAGATTTTTAAAAGACATTTATATATATTTGTTTAAAATATAAAGTAATATATAATATAGAAAAATGCACATCCTGGGCCGGCGCCACGGCTCACTAGGCTAATCCTCCACCTTGCGGCGCTGGCACACCGGGTTCTAGTCCCGGTTGGGGTGCCGGATTCTGTCCCGGTTGCCCCTCTTCCAGGCCAGCTCTCTGCTGTGGCCCGGGAGTGCAGTGGAGGATGGCCCAAGTGCTTGGGCCCTGCACCCCGTGGGAGACCAGGGTAAGCACCTGGCTCCTGGCTTTGGATCAGCGCGTTGAGCCGGCCACAGCGCGCCAGCCGCGGCGGCCATTAGAGGGTGAACCAACGGCAAAAAGGAAGACCTTTCTCTCTGTCTCTCTCTCTCACTGTCCACTCTGCCTGTCAAAATAAATAAATAAATAAACAAACAAACAAAAAAAGAAAAATGCACATCCTGTAAAACTATGATAATATTAAACCTATTAAAATGGTTGCTTTAGGGCTGGCGCCGCGGCTCACTAGGCTAATCTTCCGCCTTACGGCGCCGGCACACCGGGTTCTAGTCCCGGTCGGGGTGCTGGATTCTGTCCCAGTTGCCCCTCTTCCAGGCCAGCTCTCTGCTGTGGCCAGGGAGTGCAGTGGAGGATGGCCCAAGTGCTTGGGCCCTGCACCCCATGGGAGACCAGGATAAGTACCTGGCTCCTGCCATCGGATCAGTGCGGTGCGCTGGCCGCAGCGCGCAGGCCGCAGCGGCCATTGGAGGGTGAACCAACTTCAAAGGAAGACCTTTCTCTGTCTCTCTCTCTCTCACTGTCCACTCTGCCTGTCAAAAAAAAAAAAAAAAAAAAAAAAAAAAAGGTTGCTTTAGGAGGGAAGAGAATGAGAGTAAAAGAGAAAAATGAATAAAAAACATTCATACAAATTCAAAAAAAGAGGAAAAATGCAATGTTCCATAATACTGAGTAAAAATTTGCCTGCAAAACCATCTCAGCTTGCCTTTTTGAGAAGGGTTACTTCTTTGACAACTTTCTCAATTTCATCAAAGGTAACTGAGTTTCTGTCCTTTCTGGGGTCACTTTTGTTTTTTCATATTCTACTTGAAAAATCTTCAAAGAAATAATTATATTTATTTCTATTTTCTAAGTATCAATGGCCATTCTTCATTCTGATGGTAATTTGGGGTATTTATAATTTCATTTTCCTTTCTTTAGAAAATGTCTAGTCACACTGTATTTTTTATTATTATTTTAAAAATTTAGACTAACATGATCGTTATTCATTTTTTAATGCAGTACAATATTTCAACACATGTACAAATTGTGCAAAAGCCAATCAAGCCAGACAAGTAGTTTTTTCATTTCCTTATCTTTCTTTGAGTTTGGAGCATACCAGCTCATCTCTTCCATTTTAACCACATACACACACACACAGCCCATACACAAATATAAAAACACAAAAGATAATTAAACCAATTAATTATAATGTAGAGAATCAACAACCACTATATAAAATCAACAAATCACAAAGGAACACAGCCAGAGAGGAGAAAGCAACAATCTATGAATTAGCCAGAAAAACAATGAAAAAGATGGAAATAGTATGCTTTCACCTATAGATAATTATGCTAAATGTAAATGGGTTAAATTCTCCAATTACAAGATACTGAGTGGTTGAACAGATTAAAAAAGCAGCAGCAGCAGTCTATAGGTGACTCAGATAAGTGTGGAGGATACACATAGACTGAGAGCCAATGAGGGGAAAAGAATATTCAATATATTATAGTTTTAATACATTTTGGCCCCCAAACTCATTCAGGAAGTTAAATCCCAAAAGTATTATGTTAATGATATCATGATGATGAAAAGTTAATCCAATTAAGGTATTTAGAGATGAGGCCTTTGGGAAGATTGGATTAGGTTGTTAGGGTGTAGATTCCATGATAAATCCTGGTAGCTTCATAAGCACAAACAAAATAGATGAGTGTGTTCCCTGTCTCTTGCCAGGGACTCTGCCAGCAAAAATGCCCTGACCAGAGGCTGAACCAATGGGGACCACCAAATCTTAGACTGTGAACCTTCAGGGCTCTGAGCTAAATAAATTTTTTCTTTTTAGAAGTTAGGTACCTCAGGTATTTTGTTATGGTGATAGAAAGGTGACTAATATACAAAGCATACTATAATCAAAAGAAAGCAAGGGGGGCTGGTGCTATGGTGTAGCAGGTAAAACAGCTACCTGCAGTGCAGGCATCCCATATGGGCCCCAGTTCAAGACCTGGCTGCTCCACTTCAGATCCAGCTCTCTGCTATGGCCTGGGAAAGCAGTGGAAGATGGCCCAAGTGTGGGGGTCCCTGCACCCAAGTGGGAGATACAGAAGAAGCTCCTGGCTCCTGGCTTCAGATTGGCCCACCTCTGGCTGTTGTGGCCATATAGGGAGTGAACCAGCAGATGGAAGATCTCTTTCTCTCTCTACCTCTGCCTCTCTGTAATTCTTCCTTTCAAATAAATGAATAAGTCTTTAAAAAAAAAAAAAGGGTGGCTATCCTATTATCAGATAAAACAGACTTTAAGTCAAAAACTGAGAAAAGACAAAGATAAAGGGGCCAATGAATCAAGAAGTTATAGCAATTATATATGTACCCAACATTGGAATACTTATAAACATACAAAGCAAAATTTAAAAGACAAAAATTAAGGAATCCATTCAGCTATTTGTTGGCCTAATTTCTCTCCTAAATATCAATTTTCTCACTTTTAAAGTGAAGATATTATCATCTTCACAGGATTACTCTGAAGATTGTATGAAGGAATGTACAAACATGGTTCTTAACATATTAAATGCTTGACATTATCTGCTTAAACAAATATGAAAATCTGACATTCTGAGAATTCATATTTCCAGTAAGATGCAAATTTTCCCAAAGAATACTCAATTCAAAACAATAAGAAAAATATTAGTCACTCTTGCATCCTCTACTCTTGTCTACAATCCAATTCAAATGGTAGAAAAATGAATCACTCTAAAATTAACATAAAAGGCAAACCAAATAGCTACCTTCCTTACTGGAGGCATTTCTAGCTTCAAGTTTTCCCTAATACTGGAAAAAAAATTCAGTATTGCTGTAAAAATTCTTCCTAAAGCTGAATGCAAACTCTACTGAGAAATTCTCAAGTCTCCTTTGGCTCAAGTAGATGATTAAAATTCAACATTTCCCACTGTTGATGAAGACCTGGAAATTCCTACGCAATATTGACTCAATTTAACAGATTAAAAAAAACTAACTACAGATTGGAAGAAAAACCACTTTTTAACATAATAAATACCTAAAACTCCAATAGCTAACAATAGATTCAGAGTTATCTAGAGACAATAGGCCTTGAAGACAAAGCATAAAATTTTCTTTCATTAGGGGAATCTTCAAACTACATAATCTGTGACAGATTTTCCCCCTGATTCTGGGATTCAGATTTAGATGTATGTGTGGCAAGTAGGGAAATGGTGAAAATCAATTTCATCCCAGTTATGTAATTATATTCTTTATTCAGTTAGCTCCTATATGCAAGGAAAACTTCCTCATTTTCATATCTTTAAAATAAAACAATAAAGTTCAAAGTATACCAGTAAGCAACTTCATACAAATGAAATCAAGGAAACTGTACATTTCTAACTAAAGCATTATTTTCTTGGGAAATACAACAGTAGCTGCCCCTAGTTTCAAAAGACTAAAATTGTTGATTTTGAGAATAAATTGATTATATAATGCCTGCTCCACGGCCCAGGTCTTGCTAGCCAAGATCGGGCCCCCACCTTCTAAGGACGCCTCTTCTGTGTTACTGGCAAACTCTCCACCCTCCGTCTTTTTGGACCCTCCTGAGTTCCTGGGGACCCCACAGCTAGCCAGGAACCTCCTGCCCCCATATGCGCATTCTTCCGCCCTGCCCCACCTCATGTCCTGCCTCTCCACGCCGCCATTGCTGGAAGCCAGGTAGCCATGTGGCCCAATCACCAGTGTCAAGCTCTCTACCCCCATCCTAATGGGATTTGCTGCTCCTGCTTCCCTGGCCGTCCTCTGGCAAAGTTTTAAAAGGACCTGTTCCTGACACGTGGCTCTCTAGCCTCCTCCTCTGGTTTCCTTTCTTTGAATCTAGGAAGACCACTACCTTTGAAAATATTGCATTGTAACTTGCTGAACTTATTTTTGCAATTTATTTTAACAGGTTTCCAGGTAATCAGTACTCAATGAAACAGCAATGGGTAATTGGTACTTGTTTTAGATGAATGCAATTTTAATTTTAATTGAATTCAGATAGCGATATTTAATATCAGCATCTTAAGTCATTTAGGTGTAACTGCTAATTTAAATTGGGTAAAGGCAAATGAGATAATGTGTCTAAATGTAAACTCCTGTATACTCAGCATGTTAAATTTGTGTTAAAAATGTTA